TCTGAATGATGTATATAACATGTCCGATATACACACACCCGCCTATCATTCTGAATGATGTATATAGCATGTCCAATATACACACACACCCGCCTATCATTCTGAATGATGTATATAACATGTCCGATATACACACACACCCGCCTATCATTCTGAATGATGTATATAGCATGTCCAATATACACACACACCCGCCTATCATTCTGAATGATGTATATAACATGTCCGATATACACACACCCGCCTATCATTCTGAATGATGTATATAGCATGTCCAATATACACACACACCCGCCTATCATTCTGAATGATGTATATAACATGTCCGATATACACACACACCCGCCTATCATTCTGAATGATGTATATAGCATGTCCAATATACACACAGACCCGCCTTTCATTCTAAATGATGTATATAGCATGTCCTATATACACACCCACCCGCCTATCATTCTGAATGATGTATATAGCATGTCCAATATACACACACACCCGCCTTTCATTCTGAATGTTGTATATAGCATGTCCTATATACACACACCCGCCTATCATTCTGAATGATGTATATAACATGTCCGATAAACACACATCCGCCTATCAATCTGAATGATGTATATAACATGTCCGATATACACACACCCGCCTATCATTCTGAATGATGTATATAGCATGTCCGATATACACACACACCCGCCTATCATTCTGAATGATGTATATAACATGTCCGATATACACACACCCGCCTATCATTCTGAATGATGTATATAGCATGTCCAATATACACACACACCCGCCTATCATTCTGAATGATGTATATAACATGTCCGATATACACACACACCCGCCTATCATTCTGAATGATGTATATAGCATGTCCAATATACACACACACCCGCCTATCATTCTGAATGATGTGTATAGCATGTCCAATATACACACAGACCCGCCTTTCATTCTGAATGATGTATATAACATGTCCTATATACACACACACCCGCCTTTCATTCTGAATGATGTATATAACATGTCCTATATACACACCCACCCGCCTATCATTCTGAATGATGTATATAGCATGTCCTATATACACACTCGTCCGCCTATCATTCTGAATGATATATATAGCATGTCCAATATACACACCCACCCGCCTATCATTCTGAATGATGTATATAGCATGTCCAATATACACACACACCCGCCTATCATTCTGAATGATGTGTATAGCATGTCCAATATACACACAGACCCGCCTTTCATTCTGAATGATGTATATAACATGTCCTATATACACACCCACCCGCCTATCAATCTGAATGATGTATATAGCATGTCCAATATACACACACACCCGCCTATCAATCTGAATGATGTATATAGCATGTCCAATATACACACCCACCCGCCTATCAATCTGAATGATGTATATAGCATGTCCAATATACACACACACCCGCCTATCATTCTGAATGATGTGTATAGCATGTCCAATATACACACAGACCCGCCTTTCATTCTGAATGATGTATATAACATGTCCTATATACACACACACCCGCCTTTCATTCTGAATGATGTATATAGCATGTCCTATATACACACCCACCCGCCTTTCATTCTGAATGATGTATATAACATGTCCTATATACACACCCACCCGCCTATCATTCTGAATGATGTATATAGCATGTCCTATATACACACTCGTCCGCCTATCATTCTGAATGATATATATAGCATGTCCAATATACACACCCACCCGCCTATCATTCTGAATGATGTATATAGCATGTCCAATATACACACACACACGCCTTTCATTCTGAATGTTGTATATAGCATGTCCTATATACACACACCCGCCTATCATTCTGAATGATGTATATAACATGTCCGATAAACACACATCCGCCTATCAATCTGAATGATGTATATAACATGTCCGATATACACACACCCGCCTATCATTCCGAATGATGTATATAGCATGTCCGATATACACACACACCCGACTATCATTCTGAATGATGTATATAACATGTCCGATATACACACACCCGCCTATCATTCTGAATGATGTATATAGCATGTCCAATATACACACACCCGCCTATCATTCTGAATGATGTATATAACATGTCCGATATACACACACACCCGCCTATCATTCTGAATGATGTATATAGCATGTCCAATATACACACACACCCGCCTATCATTCTGAATGATGTGTATAGCATGTCCAATATACACACAGACCCGCCTTTCATTCTAAATGATGTATATAGCATGTCCTATATACACACACACCCGCCTATCATTCTGAATTATGTATATAGCATGTCCTATATACACACCCACCCGCCTTTCATTCTGAATGATGTATATAGCATGTCGGATATACACACACACACGCCTATCATTCTGAATGATATATATAGCATGTCCTATATACACACACACGCCTTTCATTCTGAATGATGTGTATAACATGTCCAATATACACACACACCCGCCTTTCATTCTGAATGATGTATATAGCATGTCCAATATACACACACACACGCCTATCATTCTGGATGATGTATATAGCATGTCGGATATACACACACCCGCCTATCATTCTGAATGATGTATATAGCATGTCCGATATACACACACACGCCTTTCATTCTGAATGATGTGTATAACATGTCCAATATACACACACACCCGCCTTTCATTCTGAATGATGTATATAGCATGTCCTATAAACACACACCCGCCTATCATTCTGAATGATGTATATAACATGTCCAATATACACACACACCCGCCTTTCATTCTGAATGATGTATATAGCATGTCCTATAAACACACACCCGCCTTTCATTCTGAATGATGTATATAACATGTCCAATATACACACACACACGCCTATCATTCTGGATGATGTATATAGCATCTCCGATATACACAAACACCCGCCTATCATTCTGAATGATGTAGATAACATGTCCGATATACACACACCCGCCTATCATTCTGAATGATGTGTATAACATGTCCAATATACACACACAACCGCCTTTCATTCTGAATGATGTATATAGCATGTCCTATAAACACACACCCGCCTATCATTCTGAATGATGTATATAACATGTCCGATAAACACACACCCGCCTATCATTCTGAATGATGTATATAACATGTCCGATATACACACACCCGCCTATCATTCTGAATGATGTATATAGCATGGCCGATATACACACACACCCGCCTATCATTCTGCATGATGTTTATAGCATGTCCAATAGACACACACACCCGCCTATCATTCTGAATGATGTATATAGCATGTCCGATATACACACACCCGCCTTTCATTCTGAATGATGTATATAACATGTCCGATATACACAAACCCGTCTGTCATTCTGAATGATGTATATAACATGGCCGATTTACACACCCACCCGCCTTTCATTCTGAATGATGTATATAACATGTCCGCAAAACACACACCCGCCTTTCATTCTGAATGATGAATATAACATGTCCGATATGCACACACCCGCCTATCATTCTGAATGATGTATATAACATGTCCGATATACACACACCCGTCTGTCATTCTGAATGATGTAGATAACATGTCCGATATACACACACACACGCCTTTCATTCTGAATGATGAATATAACATGTCCGATATACACACACACGCCTATCATTCTGAATGATGTATATAACATGTCCGATATACACACACCCGTCTGTCATTCTGAATGATGTAGATAACATGTCCGATACACACACACACCCGCCTTTCATTCTGAATTATGTTTATAACATGTCCGATACACACACACACACACACGCCTTTCATTCTGAATGATGTATATAGCATGTCCGCAAAACACACACCCGCCTTTCATTCCGAATGATGTATATAACATGTCCGCAAAACACACACCCGCCTTTCATTCTGAATGATGAATATAACATGTCCGATATACACACATCCGCCTTTCATTCTGAATGATGTGTATAACATGTCCGATACACACACACCCGCCTATCATTCTGAATGATTAGTATAACATGTGCCATATACACACACCCGTCTGTCATTCTGAATGATGAATGTAACATGTCCGATATACGAACGCCCGCCTTTCATTCTGAATGATGTATATAGCATGTCCGATACACACACACCCGCCTATCATTCTGAATGATTAGTATAACATGTGCCATATACACACACCCGTCTGTCATTCTGAATGATGAATGTAACATGTCCGATATACACACACACGCCTTTCATTCTGAATGATGTATATAACATGTCCGATATACACACACCCGCCTATCATTCTGAATGATGTATATAACATGTCCGATATACACACACCCGTCTGTCATTCTGAATGATGTAGATAACATGTCCGATACACACACACACACCCGCCTTTCATTCTGAATTATGTTTATAACATGTCCGATACACACACACACACACGCCTTTCATTCTGAATGATGTATATAACATGTCCGATATACACACACCCGCCTTTCATTCTGAATGATGAGTATAACATGTCCGATACACACACACACACACACCTATAGTTCTGAATGATGTATATAACATGTCCCCTATACACACACCAGCCTGTTATTCTGAATGATGTGCATCAGTCAATAAAAATAGTTTTATTCTGAAATTAATTAATGCATTTTCACGAAGAATTCTCGACTTTTTGGTCTTGATTCCGAATGTGCACGTGTATGTTCATGCACGACGCACTGTTTGGATATTTGCGTGTTTGTTGGAAGCATGATACCCATTCACTTGGTTTTCAAATGTGAACAGCACACAATGATTGTTCATCTATCAGGTGCGCATAAAAACACTTGTTTTTAAATAACGCTTACGTAATTTACGCTTGCTGAAAATCAACGTCTACTCGCCGTGGTTATACTGCAAAGAAGAATGGAACAAAACGAAGTTAACAGGCATTTTTAATGTTCATCGAAACACAATATCATCTCTCTTGATAAGACGTCAACAAGACAGCCATATTCGGTTCGTGCATCTACGGAATCGACACCAAAAGACCTCATTAAACATCTCGGACAATTCCTGGGTTGAGACCAATTAGTGGCAGTTCCGTACGAAACCAGAAGGAACATCCGACGACCACGTCCAGCGATACGCCCAATTTTGCTTCCATGTCACGGTCCGGTACGCCTAGCTTGGTGTAGACAAAACTGAGGTTCAGAAGACAAGACTGGGTGAGCATACTGTTCACAAATTCACAAATTCATTTGTACAGCTCTGATACCAGGCGCCCAAAAGAACGTTTCAGCAACGCTTTCGTAATTCAACATCGTCAGTTTGGTGATTGAAGAGTAATGGTATGGGGCGACATCAAAACTCATTTGAGAACACAACTCACTGTTAATGCTAGGTCAGTTGGGCCAATCTTTGACTGACATTTGTAACATCCCCCAGGCCAGTTTCCACCCTTGCCGAACTAGGCTGGAATTTCCAGGCTTTCTCGTAGCACCACCAGTGATTATTACGAGTTATGTCCCTTCTGTGTCCCTCCATTTGACCAATTAGATTCAACATCTCAGATCTATATTGTAACGGGTCTTACCTCACGAAGTGCATCAAATCACTTTGGCACCTTGATTTAAAACATGAAAAGATTTGCAAAATATCTGTCGACACCAATACATATGCTTTGCAAATCCTGCAGTCGTCAGAAATCTGCACGTTGAAATCTATGTTGTTTTCAAACAGGATGTCTAGTCAGTTACACTATGTTGATTGGTCTACGCATCACCTCATAAGTCCAGCCAAAATGTTACACCGGAATTCCAGCCTAGTTCAGCAAGGGTGGAAACTGGATTTTTATAGTCAGTTAACTCCCTTGCCTCGAGAAGTCTCAACTGGGTCACTCATGGCCTTTTCAGATCGCTGACCCAACTTTTTCAGGCTATGACCTTGAGGGTGACCTTGACCCTCGACATGTTTGAAAGACCTGTTAGAAAAACGTGCCAGGCCAAGACAACTTACTTGTTGTGATATCACTGAAGTTGTCCAATCCCCGCAAGGCTTCCAAAACAAATGTGAAGTGATCAAATTCTGATAAAACATGTAAACAGTTACATGTGATTGCAAAATATCACCTGAATAAGTATATACATATTGGGTGTATGGTTTGTCCTGCTAACTTATCTCAGCAAGTTATTACAAATGTTGGGTACACAAAATAACATGTAGGATCAGTTTGTCATGATGAATGTGACTTCTTGTCTTGCTAAGGTTTAGTTGTTCCTCTTATCATTCATTATCTCTTTTTCAGAAAACTGAAACTTGAATGAAGATTTTGCCATGGCCATCAGTTAGTTTTCACTCTTTTAGCCTCTGGTTCACCTGAAAATCAAGCATAAGAAACTGAAACGCAATGCCAGTCAGTACGATTGCAGGACAGACAATGGGTGAAGCATTATTTTATCTTTGGTTGACATAATCTTTGATCTAAAAACTGAAAGTACATTAACTCTATAATCACCAACAGATATTGAATCTAAATGCAACTACATCATAAGCAAACTTACCATCCTCATTAAGATTCAAATCAGCTTCCTGTACTTCATGAAATAAAATGTCTTTTGTCAGGCGAAATGTTAAGCACAACATATCTTTGTTGGGGGCAACATTTCGAACAAATCTCACACTGACATCTGTCAAAGATTTAGCAATAATTCTCTCCCCTTGTTCCACGACATCTTTCCTTGGATCAACGCTTTTGCTGAAACAGTAGCAATGCACCACTGGTAAATTTGCATCATCTACATCCTCCATTACTAAATCACAATCCGCTAAAAGAGACACAAAGCAGTCCAGGAACTCTATGGCTGATGCTGGGAGATTCATCAACACATGCATGTTGCTGCCTTGTGGATCTGACTTTATCCTCTTGATCAAATCAGACTTCACAACTGTTCGAATGAATGCCCGTCCATCAAGATTATAAGCTGTCAACATATCTGGTTTAATTCTATTAAGAGAAATGTTTCTCTGTAAAGAGCTGTAGGAATCTGGGTTAAGGTCATTGGCCTTGACAGAGATACCACGCCTTGCAGCCGGGATGGCGAACGGACCAACACCCGCAAACATATCATAAACAGTGTCGCCTTTCTCCAGCTGGCTGATCATTGTTCCATGTTCAGTAGCTGAAAAGAATAAAAACAGGTCTGTGTTAGCTGTGGCTGTACCATGGAATCCCTATACTGAATTAAGCCTGAAGCAGACCAATGGGAACACCTTGCCAAGGTAAACAATCTCATTAAAATCAGATCTAAGTTCTCGCAGCCGCTAAACAAAGATCTGAGGACATCCCATTACGGGTCACGTCAGAATGACCTTTTGCGAACTTTGACCGACCACTGAAACGAGTAACAAGAAGTCGACATCAGCCAATCAGAATGCAGCTTTCACGAGCTTTACGGCACCATTTGAACCTGGCAACTTCCATTTCAGACAACGCTTGAAAAATATGTTGACACAGTTCTTGATTAATTTTTTTTTAAACTGAACAAACAAACATTCCGGAATGTCTAATATATAAGAAAACACATTCCGACTGTTACTTTCATGATCTGGTAAGCGACGCTTTGATTGGTCTGAGGAGAGGTCGTTCTGACGTGACCCCTAATGGAATGTCCTCAGATCTTTGTATAGCGATAGAGAGAACTAAGATCTGATTTTAATGAGATTGCGATGTAAATCACTGGATAGTCTGGTCCAGACTTCATTATTTACAGACCGCCGTCATATAGCTGGAACATTGCTGATTGCGGCGTAAAACAACAAACAAACAAACAGTTTACTGACTCCGAGCCAACCAGTCCTCGTTTTAGGCCCTTAATGCCGAGCGCCAGGCAGAGTTATAACAAGTACCATCTTTTAACCTCTTTTGGTTTGACCTGGCTTGGGATTGAATAACCGGCCTAACACTCTCCAGGCAGACGTTCTACCACTAGACCACAGAGGGGGTCCCACACTCCGGGCAGACATTCTACCACTAGACCACAGAGGGGGTCCCACTCTCCGGGCAGACGTTCTACCACTAGACCACAGAGGGGGTCCCACACTCCGGGCAGACATTCTACCACTAGACCACAGAGGGGGTCCCACTCTCCGGGCAGACGTTCTACCACTAGATCACAGAGGTGGTCCCACTCTCCGGGCAGACATTCTACCACTAGACCACGAAGGCGGTCACAACCAGTATGAGGGATTGGGGACACCTTCTCGCCAAGAATCCACAAGGACACAGAACATTGGCTGCCTTGTCATGTGTTCTCTGTCCGTCCATCAGGTTGCTTTAATATTATCCTTCAGTGTTCATTAGTTAATTCTCATGTTAATCCCACTCATGTATGATAATTGTTATTAATGTCAAACCTTACCCTTCCAAATATAATTCTGTACAATTCTTGTCCATTAGTATGGCTTGACAACAGCATTTGGGCTGTTTCCGAAAACATCCCAATTACAATGTAATATACATAATAAAGAAGTTCAGCTCAATGTATCACTTTCATCATGATAAAAACACTGAGACACTTAATTGTTGCTTTAAACACAACATGGGTAAAAAATATTACTTCCTTAATTTATCATTTTAAAAACATTTCCAACACCAAAACATGGATATTCAGCAGTCAAAAGAATGTCTGTGTCCTGTCTATATCAGTGTCCTGTCCGTGTCTATGTCCTGTCTGTGGCTGTGTCCTGTCTGTCTATGTCCTGTCTGTCAGTGTCCTGTCTATGTCAGTGTCCTGTCTGTGTCTGTGTCCTGTCTGTGTCAGTGTCCTGTCTGTGTCAGTGTCCTGTCTGTGTCAGTGTCCTGTCTGTGTCTGTGTCCTGTCTGTGTCTGTGTCAGTGTCCTGTCTGTGTCAGTGTCCTGTCTGTATCTGTGTCCTGTCAATGTCAGTGTCCTGTCTGTGACTGTGTCCCGTGTCCTGTCTGTGTCTTGTCTATGTCAGTGTCCTGTCTGTGTCTTGTCTATGTCAGTGTCCTGTCTGTGTCAGTGTATTGTCTGTGTCAGTGTCTTGTCTATGTCAGTGTCCTGTCTGTGGCTGTGTCCTGTATGTGTCCAGTCTATGTCCTGTCTATATCCTGTCCGTGTCTGTGTCCTGTGTCCCATCTATGTCAGTGTCCTGTCTGTGTCTGTGTCATATCTATGTCATTCTCTATGTCTATGCCCTGACTGTGTCTGTGTCCTGTCTATGTCTGTGTCCTGTCTATATCCTGTCCATGTCTGTATCCTGTCTATGTCTGTGTCCGGTCTATGTCACTGTCCTGTCCATGTCTGTGTCCTGTGCCCTGTCTATGTCAGTGTCCTGTCGGTGTCTGTGTCCTATCTGGGTCTGTGTCCGTGTCCTGTCTATGTCTGTGTCCTGTCTATGTCTTTGTCCTATCTATGTCCTTCTCTATGTCTATGTCTATGTCCTGACTGTGTCTGTGTCCTGTCTATGTCTGTGTCCTGTCTACAGTGTCCTGTCTATGTCTGTGTCCTGTCTGGTTTTGTCTATGTCAGTGTCCTGTCTATGTCAGTGTCCTGTCTGTGGCTGTGTCCTGTATGTGTCCAGTATTTATCCAGTATGTGTCCAGTCCTGTCTATGTCTGTGTCCTGTCTGTGTCTGTGTCCTGTCTACAGTGTCCTGTCCATGTCTGTGTCCTGTCTATGTCAGTGTCCTGTCTGTGGCTGTGTCCTGTATGTGTCCAGTATGTGTCCTGTATCTGTCCAGTCCTGTCTATGTCTGTGTCCTGTCTATGTCTGTTTCCTGTCTATGTCTGTGTCCTGTCTGTGTCTGTGCCATGTCTGTGTCCTGTCTGTGGCTGTGTCGCGTCTGTGGCTATGTCCTGTCTATGTCTGTGTCCTGTCTATGTCAGTGTCCTGTCTGTGTGTGTGTGTCCCGTCAGTGGCTGTGTCCTGTCTATGTCTGTGTCCTGTATATGTCTGTGTCCTGTCTTTGTCAGTGTCCTGTTTGTGGCTGTGTCCTGTCCGTGGCTGTGTCCTGTCTGTGGCTGTGTCCTATCTATGTCTGTGTCCAGTCTGTGTGTGTGTGTCCAGTCAGTGGCTGTGTCCTGTCTATGTACGTGTCCTGTCTATATCTGTCTCCTGTCTATGTCTGTATCCTGTCTGTATCCTGACTGTGTCCTGTCTACGTCTGTGTCCTGTCTATGTCTGTGTCCTGTTTGTGGCTGTGTCCTGTCTGTGGCTGTGTCCTGTCTGGGGCTGTGTCCTACCTATGTCTGTGTCCAGTCTGTGTGTGTGTGTCCAGTCAGTGGCTGTATCCTGTCTATGTATGTGTCCTGTCTATATCTGTGTCCTGTCTATGTCAGTATCCTGTCTGTGGTTATGTCCTGTCTGTGTCCTGTCTGTGTCCTGCCTGTGTCCTGTCTGTGTCTGTGTCCTGTCTATGTCTGTGTCTTTCCCATCTATGTCTGTGTCATGTCTACAGTGTCCTGTCCATGCCTGTGTCCTGTCTGGTGTTGTCTATGTCAGTGTCCTGTCTGTGTCTATGTCCTATCTGTGTCTGTGTCCTGTCTGTGTCTGTGTCCTGTCTGTGTCTGTGTCCTATCTATGTCTGTGTCCTGTCTACGATGTCCTGTCCATGTTTGTGTCCTGTCTGGTCTTGTCTATGTCAGTGTCCTGTCTGTGGCTGTGTCCTGTCTGTGTCAGTGTCCTGTCTATCTCAGTGTCCTGTCTATGTCAGTGTCCTGTCCATGTCTGTGTCCTGTCTGGTGTTGTCTATGTCAGTGTCCTGTCTGTGTCTATGTCCTGTCTGTGTCTGTATCTGGTCTGTGTCTGTGTCCTGCCTGTGTCTGTGTCCTGTCTGTGTCTGTGTCCTATCTATGGCTGTGTCCTGTCTACAGTGTCCTGTCAATGTCTGTGTCCTGTCTAGTGTTGTCTATGTCAGTGTCCTGTCTGTGTCTGTGTCCTGTCTGTGTCAGTGTCCTGTCTATGTCAGTGTCCTGTCTGTGGCTGTGTCCTGTCTGTGTCAGTGTCCTGTCTATGTCAGTGTCCTGTCTATGTCAGTGTCCTGCCTGTGGCTGTCTCCTGTCTGTGGCTGTGTCCTGTATGTGTCCTGTATGTGTCCAGTATGTGTCCTGTATGTGTCCAGTCCTGTCTATGTCTGTGTCCAGTCCATGTTTGTGTCCTGTCTGGTCTTGTCTATGTCAGTGTCCTGTCTGTGTCTGTGTCCTATCTGTGTCAGTGTCCTGTCTATGTCAGTGTCATGTCTATGTCAGTGTCCTGTCTGTGGCTGTGTCCTGTATGTGTCCAGTATGTGTCCTGTATGTGTCCAGTATGTGTCCTGTACGTGTCCAGTCCTGTCTATGTCAGTGTCCTGTCTGTGGCTGTGTCCTGTATGTGTCCTGTATGTGTCCAGTCCAGTCTATGTCAGTGTCCTGTCTATGTCAGTGTCCTGTCTGTGGCTGTGTCCTGTATGTGTCCAGTATGTGTCCTGTATGTGTCCAGTCCTATCTATGTCTGTGTCCTGTCTATGTCTGTGTCCTGTATGTGTCCAGTATGTGTCCTGTATGTGTCCAGTCCTGTCTATGTCTGTGTCCTGTCTATGTCTGTGTCCTGTCTGTGTCTTTGCCATGTCTGTGTTCTGCCTGTGTCCTGTCTGTGTCTGTGTCCAGCCTGTGTCCTGTCTGTGGCTATGTCCAGACTGTGGCTATGTCCTGTCTATGTCTGTGTCCTGTCTTTGTCTATGTCCTATCTGTGTCTTCCCTGTGTCTGTGTCCTGTCTACAGTGTCCTGTCTACAGTGTCCTGTCCATGTCTCTGTCCTGTCTGGTCTTGTCTATGTTAGTGTCCTGTCTGTGTCTGTGTCCTGTCTGTGTCAGTGCCATGTCTGTGTCCTGTCTGTGGCTATGTCCCATCTGTGGCTATGTCCTGTCTGTGTCTGTGTCTATGTCTGTGTCCTGTCTATGTCTGTGTCCTGTCTATATCTGTGTCCCATCAATGTCCAGTCTGTGTTTGTGTCCTATCTATGTCCTGTCTTTGTTAGTGTCCTGTCTATGTCTGTGTCCTGTCTGTGGCTGTGTCCTGTATGTGTCCAGTATGTGTCCTGTATGTGTCCAGTCCTGTCTATGTCCTGTCTATGTCTGTGTCCTGTCTGTGTCTTTGCCATGTCTGTGTTCTGCCTGTGTCCTGTCTGTGTCTGTGTCCTGCCTGTGTCCTGTCTGTGGCTATGTCCAGACTGTGGCTGTGTCCTGTCTATGTCTGTGTCCTGTCTATGTCAGTGTCCAATCTGTGGCTGTCTCCTGTATGTGTCCAGTATGTGTCCTGTATGTGTCCAGTCCTGTCTATGTCTGTGTTCTGTCTATGTCTGTGTCCTGTCTATGTCTGTGTCCTGTCTGTGGCTGTGTCCTGTATGTGTCCAGTATGTGTCCTGTATGTGTCCAGTCCTGTCTATGTCTGTGTCCTGTCTATGTCTGTGTCCTGTCTGTGTCTGTGTCCTGTCTGTGTCTGTGTCCTGCCTGTGTCGTGTCTGTGGCTATGTCCAGACTGTGGCTGTGTCCTGTCTATGTCTGTGTCCTGTCTTTGTCTATGTCCTATCTGTGTCTTCCCTGTGTCTGTGTCCTGTCTACAGTGTCCTGTCCATGTCTCTGTCCTGTCTGGTCTTGTCTATGTTAGTGTCCTGTCTGTGTCAGTGCCATGTCTGTGTCCTGTCTGTGGCTATGTCCTGTCTGTGTCTGTGTCTATGTCTGTGTCCTGTCTGTGGCTGTGTCCTGTATGTGTCCAGTCCTGTCTATGTCAGTGTCCTGTCTATGTCAGTGTCCTGTCTATGTCAGTGTCCTTTCTGTGGCTGTGTCCTGTATGTGTCCAGTATGTGTCCTGTATGTGTCCAGTCCTGTCTATGTCTGTGTCCTGTCTATGTCTGTGTCCTGTCTGTGGCTGTGTCCTGTATGTGTCCAGTATGTGTCCAGTCCTGTCTATGTCCTGTCTATGTCTGTGTCCTGTCTGTGTGTGTATCCTGTGTATGTCAGTGTCCTGTCTGTGTCTGTGTCCTGTTTATGTTTGTGTCCTGTCTGTGTCTGTATGTGTCCTGTTAATGCAAGTGTCCTGTCTGTGTCCTGTCTGTGTCCTGTCTGTGTCCTGTCTGTGTCCTTTGTCTGTGTCCTGTCTGTGTCCTTTGTATGTGTCCTGTCCATGTCTGTGTCCTGTCCATGTCTGTGTCCTGTCTGTGGCTGTGTCCTGTCTGTGTCTGTGTCTATGTCCTGTTTACATCTGTGTCCTGTATGTGTCCTGTCTGTGTCCTGTCTGTGTCTGTGTCCTGTCTACATCTGTATATTGTCTTGTCTGTGTCCTGACTGTGGCAGTGTCCTGTCTATGTCCTGTCTGTGTCCTGTCTGTGTCCTGTCTGTGTCCTTTGTCTGTGTCCTGTCTGTGTCCTTTGTATGTGTCCTGTCCATGTCTGTGTCCTGTCCATGTCTGTGTCCTGTCTGTGGCTGTGTCCTGTCTGTGTCTGTGTCTATGTCCTGTTTACATCTGTGTCCTGTCTGTGTCCTGTCTGTGTCCTGTCTGTGTCCTGTCTGTGTCCTGTCTGTGTCCTGTCTGTGTCTGTGTCTATGTCCTGTTTACATCTGTGTCCTGTCTATGTCCTGTCTGTGTCCTGTCTGTGTCCTGTCTGTGTCCTGTCTGTGTCCTGTCTGTGTCCGGTCTACAACTGTATATTGTCTTGTCTGTGTCCTGTCTGTGTCTGTGTCCGGTCTACAACTGTATATTGTCTTGTCTGTGTCCTGTCTGTGTCTGTGTCCTGTCTGTGTCCTGTCTACAACTTATATTGTCTGTGTCTGTGTCCTGTCTGTGTCTGTGTCCTGTCTGTGTCTTATCTATGCCTGTGTCCTGTCTGTGGCTGTGTCCTGTCTTGTCTGTGTCCTGTCTATGTCCTGCCTGTGTCCTGCCTGTGTCCTATCTATGTCTATGTCAGTGTCCTGTCCATGTCTCTGTCCTGTCTGGTCTTGTCTATGTTAGTGTCCTGTCTGTGTCAGTGCCATGTCTGTGTCCTGTCTGTGGCTATGTCCCATCTGTGGCTATGTCCTGTCTGTGTCTGTGTCTATGTCTGTGTCCTGTCTGTGGCTGTGTCCTGTATGTGTCCAGTCCTGTCTATGTCAGTGTCCTGTCTATGTCAGTGTCCTGTCTATGTCAGTGTCCTTTCTGTGGCTGTGTCCTGTATGTGTCCAGTATGTGTCCTGTATGTGTCCAGTCCTGTCTATGTCTGTGTCCTGTCTGTGTCCTTTGTCTGTGTCCTGTCTGTGTCCTTTGTATGTGTCCTGTCCATGTCTGTGTCCTGTCCATGTCTGTGTCCTGTCTGTGGCTGTGTCCTGTCTGTGTCTGTGTCTATGTCCTGTTTACATCTGTGTCCTGTATGTGTCCTGCCTGTGTCCTGTCTGTGTCCTTTGTATGTGTCCTGTCTACATCTGTATATTGTCTTGTCTGTGTCCTGACTGTGGCAGTGTCCTGTCTATGTCCTGTCTGTGTCCTGTCTGTGTCTGTGTCCTGTCTGTGTCCTGTCTACAACTGTATATTGTCTTGTCTGTGTCCTGTCTGTGTCCTGTCTGTGTCTGTGTCCTGTCTGTGTCCTGTCTACAACTGTATATTGTCTTGTCTGTGTCCTGTCTGTGTCTGTGTCCTGTCTGTGTCCTGTCTGTGTCCTGTCTGTGTCCTTTGTATGTGTCCGGTCTACAACTGTATATTGTCTTGTCTGTGTCCTGTCTGTGTCTGTGTCCTGTCTGTGTCCTGTCTACAACTTATATTGTCTGTGTCTGTGTCCTGTCTGTGTCTGTGTCCTGTCTGTGTCTGTGTCCTGTCTGTGTCTGTGTCCTTTGTATGTGTCCTGTCTACAACTGTATATTGTCTTGTCTGTGTCCTGTCTGTGTCTGTGTCCTGTCTGTGTCCTGTCTGTGTCCTGTCTGTGTCCTTTGTATGTGTCCGGTCTACAACTGTATATTGTCTTGTCTGTGTCCTGTCTGTGTCTGTGTCCTGTCTGTGTCCTGTCTACAACTTATATTGTCTGTGTCTGTGTCCTGTCTGTGTCTGTGTCCTGTCTGTGTCTTATCTATGCCTGTGTCCTGTCTGTGGCTGTGTCCTGTCTTGTCTGTGTCCTGTCTATGTCCTGCCTGTGTCCTGCCTGTGTCCTATCTATGTCTATGTCAGTGTCCTGTCTATGTCGTGTCCATGTATGTGTCCTGTCCATGTCTGTGTCCTATCTGTGGTTGTGTCCTGTATATGTCCTTTCTGTGGCTCTGTCCTGTATGTGTCCTGTCTATGTCTGTGTCCTGTCTGTGTGTGTGTCCTGTGTATGTCAGTGTCCTGTCTATGTCTATGTCCTGTCTGTGTGTCCTGTGTATGTCAGTGTCCTGTCTGTGTGTGTGTCCTGTGTATGTCAGTGTCCTGTCTATGTCTGTGTCCTGTCTGTGTGTGTCCTGTGTATGTCAGTGTCCTGTCTGTGTCAGTGTCCTGTCTATGTCTGTGTCCTGTCTGTGTGTGTCCTGTGTATGTCTGTGTCCTGTCTGTGTGTGTGTCCTGTGTATGTCAGTGTCCTGTCTATGTCTGTCTGTGTGTGTCCTGTGTATGTCAGTGTCCTGTCTATGTCTGTGTCCTGTCTGTGTGTGTGTCCTGTGTATGTCAGTGTCCTGTCTATGTCTGTGTCCTGTCTGTGTGTGTGTCCTGTGTATGTCAGTGTCCTGTCTATGTCTGTGTCCTGTCTGTGTGTGTCCTGTGTATGTCAGTGTCCTGTCTGTGTCTGTGTCCTGTTTATGTTTGTGTCCTGTCTGTGTCTGTATGTGTCCTGTTAATGCAAGTGGAGTCAATCCTTTCTAAGGTATAGGATTATGATTCCCATCTGAGACTGTATAATGATCTGTGGCTTCAACGTTGTGTTGCCTATTGAGAACTTACAGAGTCTTGGATTCCAGTAGACCTTAGAGAAGTCAAATTCATATATGCAGCCATTTTCTCGAACTTGTGTGACATAGTTGTCTTCTCCTGCCAGAAGTTCCATCTTGAAGTTGCGGAATGTGTTGTCAATCACATCAAGCTTGTTAACCACAGTACTGATATTAGGAAGCTTGTCAGAGATTACCTGCCCTGGACAAACAAACAAAATATTACTGTTTTTTTGTGTAAATAGTTTTAGTGTAAATATATTTGTAGTAACTGTAGGTGGCAGCAAAAGATTGAAATACTGGTAAAATGATATCAAGCGCTGACATGGCTGGATTGAACCACAGTTAACAGAAGCGAGTGGAGCTTGCCAGCATGTGGAGCATGTATATAATATAAGAGTCATACAGAGGGAGATTTGATGCCTTTTTCAATCTGACTTGTTTCTAATCTACTTACCATGTGCAGATTGGAAACCTATCTGACACTGACTTCCTGTCAGATTCCAACACTCATCTACGTTCAAGCAATGGAGAGAGACCTCTTACAAGGCACTCCACAGTGGCAATATTCTGAACATTCGTGAGTACACTAACATTAATTCTAGAGCTGCTGCCACGTTATACCCACTGTGTTGCTTTTTGGATTGTAAAAGTAAAAAGCTTAAATTTAAGCTTGTGATTATTTATTGAACTTGTGTGGTCGTGAACTGATTTCTGGGTGAAGCTCTGCATATAATTAGGAAAACACCTTGGAATAACAAAAACAATGATATATCAAGGTGTATTTTCCATTGCTACAACAATTCACCACTTGTCAGAGCTCACAACATCGTCAGGAAAGTATTTGAAAAAAAGACATGCCAGGCAGCCATCGGGTCCCGCAGACATAGAAGCTGCTGGGATGACGGAACTCTTCAGGCTCTTATTAAAAAACTGCAGCTTTCTGTGACAAAATAAATCAACACGCAGTTTTACTGCAAGTCATAAGGACCCTTACAAAATCGAACCTATGGGCCAGACACAAGGGATGAACCTACCACAGGCCTACGGAAAGGTGCTTATCTCTAACACTGGTCATGAGAATACAAACTGAGTTGACATGAGTAACACAATCCTGTTGTTTACATGGAATTCTCGGACGTTTAGATAGCTGACATATCTCTTTGTCACGTTTACTGGGTTTTGTGAAATCATTGCCATAATTATCAATGAAATTCGTACTTATCATCATAAAGCTTACTCAGTCTGCGCCAATAATACCCAGCTTGAAGCCACCAAGTAGGTCTACTATTGTGTTTAGCGAATAATTAAATTCCTGTTAACCAGAAATGCTTTCAGCACTGTACATAACTGAGACTCGCTACCTTCATTCTGACAAATGTACCGTGCTATATGGAATTTGACCTTCAACGTAGGTCACTCACGACCTTTTCCAAAAATGGCCCTTCTCTAAGGAAGACATTATTTAGTTTCATTAACCTACAGTAACATTATTTTAAGACTATGAAGTTGTGCATGACCATGTCCCTTCACATGACATACTAATGTGTCCAACAATTTCCTGTGCTATTAAGGAGATATGCATGCTTCCATATCCCTGAGATGTTTCAAAATCAGTGTAGCAGCAAAAGCACTGAGTGAGTGAGATGGGTTTAACGCTGCTTTTAACAGTATTCCAGTTATATCAAGGTGTGTCAGCTTAATGTGGGAGGAAAGCCCAAGGTGATGCAGGTCTCAGGCGTTTACCAGTTCAGTGAAACCCACGAGCACAGGTATGGTGCTGACAACCCTAGAAACATAATCGGGGCGAACCAGGATTTGAACCCACAATCATAGGTTTCTGGCGTGCCCAAGGGACACAACTCTGCACAGCGAATCGCAGCACCTTAGACGACTGGGCCACGCGTGCCCCAAGCAGAGAAAGAAACTGGAAATTATATATGAAAACCTGGTCACTATTATTAATACAGAACATGGCAGTACACTGTTCAGCATTTTTTTAAACAAAATGAAAGGAGGGTGTCACATGGAACAAAATGACATTGTACTTGTAAGGTGATATGGATAAGACTGATATACCGGCTTATGAAGAGCTACTCTGTCAGCATCATGCTGGCAACTGTTGAAATACCTGATGATGAAATAGTAAGAAATGGTGTTCCTGAAAATGTTTACTGCCTTCAAAGTACAAGTGAACAAACTCCTGAGGTTAGAAATATGTTATGAAAGTGAAACAATGCAGCACGGTAACACGATACGCTACCTATTGCGTTACGCATATTTACGTCATATCACGTTGAAACTTCTTGACTATAAATATTTCAGAGCTGGTTCTAAAGGAAGAGTGAATTTGAAATGCTAATTACAACACATTTTGTGATATTTGACTATCAAAAACACCCGGCTAGGGGCATTAAAGGAGTAGTAAGTAATTTATTTTGGCAAGTGTATTGTCTCGTACCAATATAGAAAAAAGTGTTTCATGTTTCGTATCGTTGCATGAAAACTCATGATGCACCAAAGTATCATTTCACCCCTTTTTATTATTATTGCTATTGTTTATGAAGCAAACAAATTCATATTTATAATCATGTTTTAAAATATTTAGCAGAGCTGTTATTAGAATTGTTTCCTTTAAGATAGTGGACTAGTTACAAGCTTGCAAGATGGAGTTCACAAACCATGGTGGGCATGGGTTAGAGACGCTAGTGACCTTGATGATAATGTTTGGGTTCCTGTTGAAGTTATAGGGAAGCTAACTAGAGAGCCCAGGTTTGCCCTGATTTTGAAAGCACTTCTCAACAACTCCTAAGTTGGTCTTACCAATAAGTTTCTTGTACGGATAGACTTCAGGTTTAAGGTTGAGATGAGCGATGTGGCCGATGACACTGAAGCTGGTGACACTGTCAGAACTGGCTGGTATGACAGCCCGAAGGATGTCTTGTACATTCCAGTTCTCGTATGTCATCTCTACATCATACATATCAAAGTCGTTACATTGTATGTCATTTTCTTGCAGCAACTGTCTGTCAGACTGTTCAAGATCCTACAACAGAGATTTGTCAATATTTGGGAAAATTGTGTGATACTCTTATTTTAAATCCCCTTGTATTTTGTTGTCTATGCTGATCAACAAATAATTGCTACTTAGTCATAGTCATATTTTCAGGATTTCTACCATTCCATTAAAATCCATGATCCTCATGTATATGGCAATAACATTCCAAAATTTTATCTTAAACTTGGCATATTCCATATCAAACTTGTCAACTGTTGGCCCTGCAAAATAATTCCCCTCACTCAACACCTTTGTTGTTGTTTATTAAGTCGATATCTTTTCCACGGGTGTTTTTCAAACATTAACCACCAATTATAAGACTGACTGACTGACTGATATAGAAGATTTAACGTGCGCTTTCCAACTGTAGCGTATTTCGCACACGGGCTGGCCAGACCATTTAGTGTATTCCGAAAAGGGTGAAAGTGGTGTGTGCAACCCAAGAGGGGGCTTTTAGGGGTTGCTTAATTATATTGAATTTTTGGAATTTTTAAATTTGGAATAAATGCCGAGGTTATAAGAGGATATATAGGAAACATATATAGACTAAGAGATAGGATTTGTGATCATAACAATCACCGGGCGTGACAATGTGGACAGGATATCAAAGGGTTTGTGATCATAACAATCACTGGGCGTGACCATGTGGACAGGATATCAATAGGGTTTGTGAACATAGCAATCACCGGGCATGACCATGTGGACAGGATATCAATAGGGTTTGTGCTTTTGACAATCACTGGGCGTGACCATGTGGACAGGATATCATTACGGTTTGTGAACATAACAATCACTGGGCGTGACCATGTGGACAGGATATCAAAGGGTTTGTGATCATAACAATCACTGGGCGTGACCATGTGGACAGGATATCAATAGGGTTTGTGAACATAGCAATCACCGGGCATGACCATGTGGACAGGATATCAATAGGGTTTGTGCTTTTGACAATCACTGGGCGTGACCATGTGGCAGGATATCATTACGGTTTGTGAACATAACAATCAGTGGGCGTGACCATGTGGACAGGATATCAATAGGGTTTGTGAACATAACAATCACCGGGCATGACCATGTGGACAGGATATCATTACGGTTTGTGAACATAACAATCACTGGGCGTGACCATGTGGACAGGATATCAATAGGGTTTGTGCTTTTGACAATCACTGGGCGTGACCATGTGGACAGGATATCATTACGGTTTGTGAACATAACAATCACTGGGCGTGACCATGTGGACAGGATATCAATAGGGTTTGTGATCATAACAATCACTGGGCGTGACCATGTGGACAGGATATCATTAGGGATTGTGAACATAACATACACCAGGCATGACCATGTGGACAGGATATCAATAGGGTTTGTGATCATAACAATCACTGGGCGTGACCATGTGGACAGGATATCAATAGGGTTTGTGAACATAGCAATCACCGGGCATGACCATGTGGACAGGATATCAATAGGGTTTGTGATCATAACAACCACTGGGTGTGACCATGTGGACAGGATATCATTAGGGTTTGTGCTTTTGACAATCACTGGGCATGACCACGTGGACAGGATATCGTTGGGGTTTGTGCCTTTGACAATTGCTTAATGAGCATACCGGGAATTGGTCCTTGGGGATACCACAAGACGTAGATAAAGTATAGACAGTAGTGAATAGTGTATGGGTCATAGCTAAAATGTCACCTCAGCAAAACGGCACCTTGTCTGAAGCGAAAACGGCTACTATTGCATGGGGAGAACGGCACTTTATAAAAAAAATTACCTTTTACCTTGGTACTGAAATACATGAAATTAAACTCACATGGTCACTTGCAAACACAACTAGTTGTGAAATGTTAATTGCCTTAAAACAAGTTTACATTCGAAATTAGCCTCTACTCGAATTTACTCGCCGACTCTGATTGGGAGGTGCAACAAAACTTATCGTGGAAACACCACATGCTTTGAAGTTTTAACTACCCCCACTCAAATCAACTCAATGTCAAGCTGAAACTGAGTCTGGCGGACATGTCAAGAAATTAGACAACAGGTATACTATATATTTAATATTTACTTTAGTAAGTAGGATATAAATAATAATTTTACAGATATTTCATATATATCTCCCCTTTCTGCCAGCAGCCAACATCACAAGAATGTTTCTGTGGATAACAGACCTTGTCCCTGCCCAAAGGAAAACATATATACTACAACATAACATAATAAAGCATGTAAATAAAGTATATATACTACTGCATTAATTGTTTTTTTTGTTATTAAAGATAGAGGTTCCGTTTTCGCCCGAGAAATCAGTGACGTTTTGCTGAGGTGCCGTTTTAGCCTGCACCCCATGAAGATAATGTCTCAGACAAAAGTGACACAAATATTGCAAATTCATCCCTACACTGACAAGTGACCCTAGCATAGACAGTATAGTGACTACATGAGGATAATGTCTCACACAGAAGTTACACTAATATTGCCGGGTTTATCCCTACACTGAAGAGTGACCCCAGCAGACTGTACCTGATAGGATTTATATTTTTCTGGATCAAGTAAAATCAGTTTGTGCGTCTTCTTGTTGTGATCATCATCCGATAGTTCTGCTACTGGCTTCATCAATCTAACCTTTAACATCGACATCTTCGTGGACTTTTTAAGAATGCCAACCTTACGGGCTGGAATCTTTAGCCCTGGAACTTTCATTTTTTTCTTGAACATATGTCTATCCAGTTCAGTCATTCCCCGTACAGATTCCGGCGGATCCATAGCAACAGCAGACTGACTCATTCTGTAAGCATCCATGAACCTCTCCGACCACTGCCTGATATGCGATAGGTCACTATGTAATATGATGTGTGGTTGTGCAAACTTATGCTTGCATAAATGTGTTTGTTTTGAAGATGTATCAGTGATCTGTTGCTTAGAACTCACAACTCTATACTTATTCGTGGTAGTGGGTATTTTCTGAATTTGCTGACGACTGCGAACAAAGATCCCGCTTAAATAATTGAACAGTGATCTTAATCCGTCTGTTCGTCCGGCCATGTGACTTGTTTATCAACACATGAGACTAATTGTATTTCCGTTTGCCAGATAAAATCCGGACATAATAAACCGGAAGATGTAGCAATAAACTAGTGTTATATCGGCGACAATGGACAAGAGAATACCCTTTCGCTCAGATTGTTGATGTGGTATTATATTACAAATTGCGAACGTTCAAACGTCTACAACTGATGTATACATGGTACCAGAAAAGGCCGAGAGAGTCATCCCATACATCACATCTACAACTGGGGTCCCCTGAAAAGCGCTAAGCTTACGGCGGCACCAGTTTAACTTTAAGCTCCTTACAGATATACGGAGCTCCTGACAGCGATAACCCGTTCGCGGAGCTCTCAATACTATCGCTGCCACCAGCCACAGCTCCCAACTGTGCTCAGCCACAACCATGCATGGAGTTGCAGACGCAACCTATGGGCGGTAATTCGGTCAAAAAATACAACGTTGAAAGAAAAAGGACAAAAGGACGCAATTAAGGTCAAATATTAGGAATAAAGAACTAAATGTTACTTCTAAAGGTCAAAATACAAAACAAACAGACGCCGGTTAAACATACAAAGTTGAAATAAATGTCAAAAGTACGCAGTATTAATAGTCAAATGTTACGAAAAGACGTCATAAGAAAAGAAAGAACAATGTGTACGAAAGAACGTCAGTGAACACGAAAGGACGTTTTCAATAAAGAACGTCAGTGAGCACGAAAGGACGTTTTCAATAAAGAACGTCAGTGAGCACGAAAGGACGTTGACAATAAAGAACGCCAGATGGCGCTGCAATTTGTAAAACATTCCGAGTTTAATCGGCTTGTTCCGCCGTGTATATGATAACTGCATGCCGAGGTGCACAATGTATTACATTTATTTCAACTTTGTATGTTTAACCGGCGTCTGTTTGTTTTGTATTTTGACCTTTAGTAGTAACATTTAGTTCTTTATTCGTAATATTTGACCTTAATTGCGTCCTTTTGTCCTTTTTTTCAACTTTGTATTTTTTGACCGAGTGGCAGCCCATAGCAACCGCCTGACCGTTGTGTTAGCAAAAAAGTGCTGATTTTGTTAAATTCAATATCATGTGACTGTTTTGGTTAGAGTGAGTGAGTGAGTATGGTTTTACGCCGCTTTTAGCAATATTCCAGCAATATCACGGCGGGGGACACCAGAAATGGGCTTCACGCATTGTACCCATGTCGGGAATCGAACCCGGGTCTTCTGCGTGACGAGCGAACGCTGTAACCACTAGGCTACCCGACCGCCCCGTTTTGGTTAGAATGCAATGGGAAAGTTAGGTGCTTTTCAATGAGTCTGCAATCTCCAACCGATCTGATTAAACAAACGCAATGCATGTGGGGAAAATAAAGTCAGCGTAAACCTTTTCAAGACTCTTCTTATGGCTTCTTGCCAATCTCATTAAAATCATATCTTAGTTCTCGCTACCGCCAATCTCATTAAAATCAGATCTTAGTTCTCGCTACCGCTAAACAAAGGTTTGTGGCGAGAACTAGCCACCAGTGTACAAGAAGCCCAATCACATTATAATCAGATCTTGGATCTCGTTCTCGATATGATTTTAATGAAATTGGGCTTCATGCACACTGGTGGCAGGATGATAATCTCCTAACTCCTATCACATTACATATATATTATTGCAGTTACACCAGTTTGTTGCAGCGCACAACGTGTGTCACAACCCAGAAAGTATGAACAGTCCAGAAGGTATGTTACCGGGCAGAAAGTTTAATGCGGACTATCTATAAATAGCAGACACACTACGGCTCAATAACATGTAGGGTTAACTACAGTTGCAGGTGGTGCCTGATATCTGAGTAGAACGAGCACGTTTGAATACAATAATGAATAATTTAGGCTGTACTCCAAAGCCAGTGAGAGCATACGATACAGATACACGATGTGCCTCGGTCATATTTCAAATGTTGTATAATGTACCGTTTATGTGATGAACCGGAGTGACGTTTGGTTCAAATAATGGATAAATATGTTTTTACTTCACATCAAATAAAGGAATACGATACAGATACATGGTCTGCCTAGTATAGGTCAGAATTTCAGTGTTGAATCATGTAGCACCAATGTAAAAACCGATGCGACTCTTAGATTGAAATAGCGAATTATTTACTTTTTAACTAACGGGGAACGTATTATATAGACCCTACTTTTCATGTCAATAATTGTAGTTTCTCTTTAATATTACTGATTATTATCCCCCGCCACGAAGTGGAAGGGGGATACAAGAATGGGTGGTGTCCCTCCGTCCCGTTTCGTTTCCGGAGCAGAACTAAAAAACAATGAGTGATATCTTAACCAAACTTTGCACATGGATAGATCTAGTGGTAAACTGGTGCCTTTTGATAGTTTGGGATTTTTTAAGATAAATATTTTTCGAGTTTCCATGGCAACGACTTTGAATGGTGGCAGTGCTCGTTTCCGGAGGGCTAATGCCTTGCACACAACCGGACATGTCATTTTGGCGGTGGATAGGAGTATTTTGCATAGAACCCCGAATGTGGACAAGTTTTCACAGAAACCACTATAGCTACAAGCACGAACTATAATGGACATGCTATATAGTAACCCCATTGAGTGATAAGTAGTTGTAGTTATTAATCAAAACAAGCGTCGCAGTGGCAGAGTACATGAATGTCTTTGGGATAAGTAGGAGTAACGGTAGTCCAATGAGTGAGTGAGTTGGGGTTAACGCCGCTTTTAACAGTATTCCAGTCATACTAAGACATTACTAAGTTTCATTAACCTACAGTAACATTATTTTCAGACTATGAAGTTGTGCATGACCATGTCCCTTCACATGACATGCTAATGTATCCAACAATTTCCTGTGCTATTAAGGAGATATGCATGCTTCCATATCCCTGAGATGTTTCAAAAGCACTGAGTGAGTGAGTTGGGTTTAACGCTGCTTTTAACAGTATTCCAGTTATATCAAGGTGTGTCAGCTTAATGTGGGAGGAAAGCCCAAGGTTATGCAGGTCTCAGGCGTTGACCAGTTCAGTGAAACCCATGAGCACGGGTATAGTGCTGACAAACCTAGAAACATAATCGGGGCGAACCGGGATTCGAACCTACAATCATAGGTTTTCGGCGTGCCCAAGGGACGCAACGCGGCGCCTAAGGCGACTGGGCCACCCGTGCCCCCTATAAGCAATGTTTGGGAAGAGACTTCAACTTTAACTACCTACACGGTCTGCGTAATTATCAATCATAAGTTAGTCTCCATTTCTGTGTCAACACTGGCGGCTTTGTTATTCAATTCACACAAAGCGTTGTCTTACCGCGACAACCTTACCTTCCGGAGGGCTAATGCGACAACCTTACCTTACAATCATAGGTTTCTGGCTTGCCCAAGGAACGCAACTCTGCACAGTGAATCGCAGGGCCTCAGACGTGTCCACCCGTGCCCCCGGTAGTCGAATGACCCCTGACTCCTTGACTTAGAGAAATTCTGGCTTACTGACCATGACGACACGGGACGGCAAGACACTGTAGTAACTGTAGTTGCGTCCCGTTAGCTGACCGCGACGACACGGGACGGCAAGACACTGTAGTAACTGTAGTTGGGTCCCGTTAGCTGACCGTGACGACACGGGACGGCAAGACACTGTAGTAACTGTAGTTGGGTCCCGTTAACTGACCGTGACGACACGGGACGGCAAGACACTGTAGTAACTGTTTTTGGGTCCCGTTAGCTGACCGTGACGACACGGGACGGCAAGACACTGTAGTAACTATTTTTGGGTCCCGTTAGCTGACCGTGACGACACGGGACGGCAAGACACTGTAGTAACTGTAGTTGGGTCCCGTTAGCTGACCGCGACGACACGGGACGGCAAGACACTGTAGTAACTGTAGTTGGGTCCCGTTAGCTGACCGTGACGACACGGGACGGCAAGACACTGTAGTAACTGTTTTTGGGTCCCGTTAGCTGACCGTGACGACACGGGACGGCAAGACACTGTAGTAACTATTTTTGGGTCCCGTTAGCTGACCGTGACGACACGGGACGGCAAGACACTGTAGTAACTGTAGTTGGGTCCCGTTAGCTGACCGCGACGACACGGGACGGCAAGACACTGTAGTAACTGTAGTTGGGTCCCGTTAGCTGACCGTGACGACACGGGACGGCAAGACACTGTAGTAACTGTTTTTGGGTCCCGTTAGCTGACCGTGACGACACGGGACGGCAAGACACTGTAGTAACTGTAGTTGGGTCCCGTTAGCTGACCGTGACGACACGGGACGGCAAGACACTGTAGTAACTGTAGTTGGGTCCCGTTAACTGACCGCGACGACACGGGACGGCAAAACACTGTAGTAACTGTAGTTGGGTCCCGTTAACTGACCGTGACGACACGGGACGGCAAGACACTGTAGTAACTGTAGTTGGGTCCCGTTAGCTGACCGCGACGACACGGGACGGCAAGACACTGTAGTAACTGTAGTTGGGTCCCGTTAACTGACCGCGACGACACGGGACGGCAAGACACTGTAGTAACTGTAGTTGGGTCCCGTTAACTGACCGTGACGACACGGGACGGCAAGACACTGTAGTAACTGTAGTTGGGTCCCGTTAACTGACCGCGACGACACGGGACGGCAAGACACTGTAGTAACTGTAGTTGGGTCCCGTTAACTGACCGTGACGACACGGGACGGCAAAACACTGTAGTAACTGTAGTTGGGTCCCGTTAACTGACCGCGACGACACGGGACGGCAAGACACTGTAGTAACTGTAGTTGGGTCCCGTTAACTGACCGTGACGACACGGGACGGCAAGACACTGTAGTAACTGTAGTTGGGTCCCGTTAACTGACCGCGACGACACGGGACGGCAAGACACTGTAGTAACTGTAGTTGGGTCCCGTTAACTGACCGCGACGACACGGGACGGCAAGACACTGTAGTAACTGTAGTTGGGTCCCGTTAACTGACCGTGACGACACGGGACGGCAAGACACTGTAGTAACTGTAGTTGGGTCCCGTTAACTGACCGTGACGACACGGGACGGCAAGACACTGTAGTAACTGTAGTTGTGTCCCGTTAACTGACCGTGATGACACGGGACGGCAAGACACTGTAGTAACTGTTGTAGGGCCCCGTAAAGCAAAACACGTAGTAATGACAATACTTGTGATTACGTCATGTTGTTTATTCTTTTATTTTCAGAAGGTATGTGCGAAACAAATTCCTCTTTTATATATTCCTCTGTTAAATTGTGGAATACATTTGCCAATTCAAAAAGGGAAT